AATAATAACAAATTAGAAGGAAAAAAATATTTAAAAAATACAGANCAAAATAAAAACCACCAAGAAATAAGAAAGTCAATTGAAGATAAATACGTATAAAAAATTTAGAGAGGCAAAATTTGCCTATAAAAACCAAAAATGACAATGGCTATCATATGTAACCTTACTAAGTTTTTGGACAAAAATAAATAGGATTATTAATATATTCTCACGGAACCTTTATAAACAAAATGTATTAACACTAGTTTTGCAAAACTCTGGGTGAACTCGTATTGAATCTGATTTTCACTTGATTTCGTGAAGTCTCAGGAAATGGAGTGCACGGAGAGGTCAGAATGTCCGCTTGAGAGAGGAGGTGAATAACACTTTCTCGAAGAATAAGGCAATCGCGTCGTCTTTCGATTGTTGCAAGGGGGGCATGTCCACGTGGGGGAGAGAGATAGAAGAGAGAAGAGTGCGACCGACAACTCGACCGCCCGCGGACTATTCGTCGTTTGTAGGGGGTGAAAGTAGTGAATTTCGCGGGTAACATGCCCCGTTACTTTTACATTGGCCCCACTTTCCCATCAATAGAAAAGAACTAACATACTTACAACAATGCAAGTTCCCGACTTTTAAGTAAAAAAAAATTTCTAATAATAATTACATAAATTAGAACATCCTTTCACGTCTAGGGGACAGGGAGGTGGGTCCCCCACGACGGTAGTGGGAGTCGTGGGGATGAAGGGTGCCGGGACTCGCGTTACATCCCAACCGCGCCGTCCCAAAACGGCGGAGCTCCGAGTGACATCGTAAGAGTTTATTGACACCACCCGGAGTATAACCGGGGACGGGACCAATAAGAACTTTATGAAGTAGACGTAAGAAAAAACCCGGGCATTAGTTAAATGAATAGAATATATTTACATAAATTCAACGTGTAAAGAAATTAAATAGTAAAAAAGTTTATATGTAGAGAAGTCAAGTTCGCGACTTGTTGTATCGATGACGGGGGACTCACCTGTATATGTTTAGAGTAAACTTTTTTTATCTAATTTTTTTTGTTTCAAGTTTTAGAACAAAAAAGTAGGAGTTCTCGTTTAATTTTTGTGAAACCATTTTTAGGACTGAACTCCAAAAAGATTAAAGTACGTATCTTGTCCCTAATACGTTAATTTTATCTTAGAATTAGTAAAATAATTATCGGAACAAGCCCAATACCAGTTGAACTAGGAGACTGGGAAATTTCCAGGGTACAGTACCGGTAAAAAATGACTAGTATTAAGGTAACAACTCCGGTGACCTTACTAAATATAACAAAGTTAAGAAGGTTTTTTAGTGTAAACCAAGAGTATGTCGTAGAGACATACCATATCCGATACACATAAGTGAGAGAATATGTGCGGAAACAACCTCGAAGACGTATCCGATTTACCTCTTACGTCAATAAAGGTCCGTGTAAGAAATAAACAAAAATAACCGGAAAATAGACGATTACCAGTCCTCTTCTCTATTTGACAGGACAGATCAGACCGATGTACCTGTCACATTAAAGCCGGATTTTTTGTTACCTCGAAAAAATACAGGTAAACTGTAAAAGTACCACTACGAGTCGGAGAGGGGAATTAAGGATTGTCAAGTAGTAGTACAGTTGGTGTTGGTGCTCTTTATGACTATCCTTTAACACAACAATCAACAACTATGAATAACCCGACGTCTCCCTTGATGTAACTATTGTCCTAAATTCCTTTTATAGTCAAAAACTCGTACAATTATTCGTACAAACAGAACATGATATAATGTTGCAATAGAATATTATTTATTATATCTAAATATACTAACCTTAACCTAATACTATATAATAAATAATCATCTTCCCATCGAATAACCGTAATTAAGAATAATTTTTGACGAGACCCTCTACAACAGTAAAGAGGTGTTTTCACTTCCTAACCGAGGCGTAACGTCATGAAAACAATTACCAGTAAAAATCCTGCGAAAATAGGGTTTAGCTAATGAATGCTAAAGTCATTGACACCTGGGTCACGGGGGGATTACGGGAAAGGTGTGGTGTGCCAAGGGGAAGATCCCGAGGTACCGATCTCCGAAAAGACGCAAGTCTTGGCCAAAAGATGCCCGTGTAAATTGCGTGATAAAAAATAATACTAAGATGAACACTATCAGTCACTGTAATGTTGGCGCACGTCGGGTACATAACTAAGGGTAGGCTATCGACCGATAAATGTTTTGTTGCCAAGACTGTGACGAGAGGTGTTTACTAAGTCACTGTCCGCTTGCCTACCCAGTTGCATTCCATGTTTATTTGTCCTTAGTGGTGATTCGACCAATCACACTGACTGAAATATTTTCATAAAAAAAAAAAATATTCACACACTAACGCAAGATTCAGTGAAACAGCATCGATGACGAACATTTTGAAAGTACCAACGGCATGAGCCGGTATTTGACAATAACTGAGTTCAACTAGGGCGGGACGGGGACGGGACGGGACGGGGGCTGAGGCTGCATTCGTTCCTGACTACAAGAACAAAGATCTGGCTATTAAAGAAAACGCGAACTTTTCCGTGGCCAAAGCCTCGATCTAAAGGACCCGCACTGCCTTATCCGCCTTGATTACGATAAAACAGTAAGACAGCCTGTGGTAATCTCGAATTTTTGACATTGATATTCATAGACTTTATTTAATACAACATGACTTTGTTTATGGTTATTGACAATAACGTAAAAATAAGAATACAAATGAAGTATGACAGGAACCAGAAAAAAAAGCAGGACGTAAATACACGGGGGAGTCTTGTATTTACTTTTTCTTTTAGAGGTTGGTCCGCAAGAAACCCGTCGTATCTGTCATAAAAGACACCAAATCCTCAAAAGAGAGATATCCCACATGAACTCCCAAACACTAGAGACGTCTGTCAAATGTACGTCTTTTTCGATGTATTGTGTGTTCCCTGCACATTATTGCCCTTTTCGTACTGTACCCTGGAAATTTATGTGTATTCAACAACTCTCTACTGAAAATTAGTACGTTGTAAAAAAAATTTTGTGTGTAAGTTGATCCCGTGGGAGGAAAATAACCTAAAAATAAGTGGGAACATAAGATATACTTATAAAAAATTTATGTTTTAGTCGTTATAAAATAATTACGATTGAAGTGACATGTAATTGTACAAACTACTATGTGATATCCCTGTCACAGAATGGTACACCAACAAATTCATGTATGGTTAAATAATTATTTACATGTAGATAGTAATAAAATTTCCCTTTTTGATTTGACTAAAAATGACGATTTTTACAATAAAAAGTAAAGGCAAATTATATTCTAAGCGAATGTAATACTTTTCATACCTGTACACATCATTATATCAAACACTGTAATTTATAGTAACAACCATTGATTAGTCCCTGAAAGTAATCCCGTCCTTAAATAGTAATAGAAAAGTATAGACATGTCACGACAATAACACCATGGTACTCCTTCCATAAGGTTTTGTGCTAAAGGTTTAATTTTTGATTAATTCCCTAGAGATTTTGTATTACCTTTGGACCTGTGGAAATCTAAAGTACGAAAATTACCCTGCTCACACACTTCCCTTCCACGTACTCTGTCACACACACTTCTGGTATAAATGGATTCAAAGGGTAATTCAACCCGACGTCGTTTCACAAAATCGACGACTCGACCGACGAATAATCATTCGGGTCGACGTGCATGGCACTCCGGGGACGACCACATAAGTACGACAATACAATTTCCTACATTTATTTGTTATTGGCTATGGTAGGTTATCGGTTATGTTCACATACTTATTTGATTATTAAAATGCAAACCGATCTTTTTCATATGGGTGTTTAGAGTTGTATCCCCTAGATCAGTCTCTAGTAATTGGGCGCTCAAAGTGCACCAGATTGAAGCATTTTACTTTAAAATGTTAAAAACAATCTTCCCGGGGGGGCACACCCGGACCCCCCTAGAGGATGTGAAGTCCACCCCCCAATTAAAACATGTTCAATGTTCATGCAATACTAAATAGTATACATTTGAAGCCTTTTTATATAAGCTGTCCACCATGTCAATATGTTTCTCTGTTTGTAGTGTCTTTTGTAGAGGTTTTTCATTGCCAGCTAAAATCTTGCCTATAGGGCAGCAAATTGGTCAAAACCGGCCCTGGTGTCATCCCCACAGCACCCCCCATTTGAAACATGTTCCCACGGCTATGATTGCGCTACATAAGCGCATGGTGCGCCTCAGATGAGGCCCCCCTCTGCAAGGTGTGGCCCCCTCCACAAGGTGAGGCCCCACAAAGTCTGCATGATCTGCCTGTAGGGAGGTACGGCCCTGGGAACAACAGCAGCAGTACCAGTATGAATTGTAGTTGAAATATAGCCAGTGATGCATGACCTCCACTGCAGTGGACAGGTGGTTAACCATGATTTTCTGCAAACATAAAATCAATACTTTGATAATTTATGAATTATATGATTCCTTAGTTGTTACTTGATGTTACCACATTTGTTATACCTGCAAGGGACGCTTTCCATAAAAGGATTGGCAAGATATAGATGGGTGACTTGGTCCATGTGGCTTTCTGTCGTTCATCTTGGTTTAGAGACATTTATCATGCACTTACATTGACTTGGCACTGAGTAGCAGTGTATGGGATGATGCAATAGGGTCCTATGTAGTGGCTGATGTTGCAACTATGCAAAAAAAACAATGCATATACAAGAAAACACCTTTTGAATAGCTATCCACTGTAGTGACCTCTATGCATGAAAGGGTTTAATGTCGGTTGTAACATTGGTTTTCTTTTGTCATTCAAAGCTATGTCTTTAAAATATCCAACCTAAAACGTCTTTCCGGGAATGACAAGTCATTTGGAAGTTTCCAGAAGTTTCTTGTGATTTCTAGTGACTGTTGATAAAACCACACCTGAGCGTGACTCGTGCTTGTTGACGTCAGGTTACGTCATTCTCCTGGGAGGAGCGTGCGTGACACATCAAAACTGAATGAAAACAGACATCTCAGCGGCTCACAAACAGGCAGCGGTGCTCAGGGATCCGTGCAATCAGACGGCTGTCAAAAAGCCACGAAAACATCGGAATTATTACAAAATATCATCGTTGCCTCCAACTATAACCCTACAGACCGACACGAGAACGGGATTTGGTGAGTGAGAATTAAACAAAAGCTACGATGAGCTGTCGGATTCAGGAAACCTTAGCTAGCTTGGTCAGCTAAAAATACAATTTGATTAACGTTGAAAAAAGCAACATTACAATTGAGTTTACTGTATTCCTTCTTTGGGTTTAGTCTGGTGAGGGATAAAGTGAAGCAGATAATTCGCTTGACACTGTTATATGATGCTTTTTAGAAAATATACATTGTTTGCTTATTGCTTAACAACAACCAAACTAGCTTCTAACATTTGTGTGGTTTAACAACAATTATTACTGATGGCGATTTGAAAACCTATTTTTGTCTTGTCAGTTATTTATGTTTTGTCGTTACGCTGTTGCTAATAATGGCATAGTAGACCCTTTTCTATCTGTAACGTGAGCTAGTTATGTAACCAACATAATCTTATAGGTTAGCCTGGCCTAGCTAGCAAGTTAGCAACCTTTACCATTACTCGTTACATTGAGTATTCTACCGTTTTCTGGACCAAGCAAACTCTGACAGCAAAACCATAATCACTTCAGAGTCGAATATTTTTTTTTTTGTGCAAAATCTTCAGAATAAGTAATTATTTCTTTACACGATACTAGCAATAAGCAATTTACGAATGACACAGCTTATTCCAAAGCTAACGTCCTGAAGCCTACACTGAGACCCTTTTCAGAGAACAGACTGTTGACGTAACTTAATCTGTCAGTTTAGTTCGAAACACTTAATATTTTCCTTTCTCCCTCCTTCAGGTTGTGGAGATTTTACTACTGTCGGCTGTCAAGACATTTGTATGTGATGGAGCTGCCACATTTAGGAGAACACTGCTCTGAGAAGACCTGCAAACGTTTAGGTGAGTGCTGTTTAGGAAGGCTGACATTGTCCAGCTGGTTTATACTGCTTAATTTGAAACTGAAAGTCTTAAACCTTGCTTCACATTACAGATTTTCTTCCTATGAAATGTGACGCCTGTCAAGAGATTTTCTGCAAGGACCACATCACCTATGCAACTCACAAATGCATGTCCGCTTACCAAAAGGTAATTAGAATATACTAAGTATTTGTGATTGACTCGTTGATTTTGGGAAAGTTTGTTGTATAATTCAACTTATTTACTATGTTTACAGTGTCATTTCTCATTTAAAGATAATAATACAATAATGGAAGTCATTTTCTTAGGTTGTTTATATGAAGTTAAAAACACATTTAAACTTTAATTACATTTGGGTGCATAACACACTGCCATTTGCACAACATTTATATATCGTCCATATCTGTTCTGATTTTGAAATACTTAATAACGAGACATGTCAAAGTTAACAACAGTAGTCATGAAAATATTTTCAACTTTTGAGGATTTGCATCTTTGTGTTTCTTTAAAGAGTTTTTTTTTGTTTTCTTGTAGGACATCCAGGTCCCAGTATGTCCTTTGTGCAACATCCCCATCCCCGTAAAGAGAGGAGAGATGCCCGACATTAAAGTCGGCGAACACATTGATCGAGATTGTAAATCGGACCCTGCGCAGAGAAAGAGAAAGGTCAATATAAGAACTGAGGTGATTCACCTTACAATGAGTATGAATCCCAAAAATAAAAGGCTGTTTTTCTTTTTGCAGATTTTCACCAATAAATGTTCTAGAGGGGGGTGTAAGCAGAAGGAAATGATCCGAGTGACCTGTGACCAGTGTCATTTAAACTACTGTCTTAAGCACCGACACTCTCTAGATCACGAATGCAAGACTGGTGGGGCACCTCCGTCTAAATCAGGGTGGGTACAGTCCCACTACTTCAGATAATGAAGTCTCATCCACTGAATATGCAGTAATAATTGCTGACTTTGTTCTTTTTTGTGTCATAGAAATGCTGCTCTAATGAGGGCCCAAGCGGCTTCCTCCAGCTCCGCCTCTGGTTCTAGGTCTAGTTCTTCCAGTTCAGGACCCTCTAGACCCTTTTCTAACGGTGTCAGTGCGAACAACAGAGGCCAAAGCTCTGGGTAAGTTTATAAAAAGTCTTTAGTGAAAATGGTTCACCTAATCAATTTTCAATCATCTAAAAACTTAATTTCACCACTTTCTTTTGTAGTGCTACCCCTCGGATTCCTACTTCAGTCTCTGCACAGAGTGTAATGCCACCATCGGCATCATTTCAGGCCGGATTGGTAAGGCCGCTATGTACGCCATCCCCTGATTAAATACCTCTGAGATCCTCATTTCAAGTAAACGTGACGTCCTGCTCTGGTGCTGTGTTTGCAGACGGAGGATCAGGCTTTACAAAGGGCTCTGGAGATGTCTTTGGCTGAAACGAGGCCGACAGTTCAGCCGCCTCTAACGTGAGTAAACTTCATCAAAACCCAGACAGATTCTAATAATGGCTCAACATGACTCCAAACACACTCTTGGCAGCGTGATCCTGTTGGGTGGATTGTGTTTTTCTCACAGACCTTTAGCTTGAAATATTAGTTTCCGAGCTGAGGAACTGAGGTTTTACAGCAGGAAGGGCTGAAAGCAGAACATAAAAGCATCAACTAAGCATTAAAGCATCAAAGTAAAACCTATGATAACACCAATACAATCATAATGATACAAAATGTGATCGCCTTCAATTTTTGACATAAAAGTATGTCTACATTTGCACAACACTAAATTCAAGAAATGTGCATTAAAAAAAGCATGTACTGTATGTCAATTACTTAATACCATTCCATCTATTCTATTATATATTATTACATTTATAAGGTTCCCTCAACCTCTGTTTGTGTTTCAATCAGAACATTTGGAATAGCTTATAAGGGTTAAGATTCTTTGCTGCTGTTTTTAAGTTTAAGAATGAATCTCAAGTCATGGGAATGGGTTTGTTTTTATATCACCTAATTATATAAACACACATCCTCAGTCAAATGTGCTGTACAAATAATTATAGGGAAGCAGTAGGGCAACATATATCGATGTTATATCAATATCATGCTTTGAAACTAAATACCCCAAGGTGTTGTCATTTCCTATATTTAAAGATCTCATAATATCTATTGAATGCACCAATTGCCAACCCTATTGTCACACTAAAAGTCCTGATACATAGACAATATTTCACAAGTCACAGGTCCTGACTTAGTGGTGTGTGGGTTTTTTTACCCGCTGAACTGTGATTTTAAGATGTCCTTGTCTGTGTTCAGCCCTCAGGAGCAGGAGGACCAGGCTCTGGCTCAGGCTCTCGCTGCCAGTGAGGAAGAGTACAGACGCCAGCAGCAGAGACAACAGGTACCCGGAAAGCTTAGGCGCCGATAGCATGTTACAGGATCACATGTATGTACACTGTTGTTATGGTAATTCATCCCCTTTGAAATTTCTTTATTGGCAGTAGAACGACTCATTTCCTTTTCACATGCTTTTAATCATGACATGTATGTATTGAATAAATAAGTCTGTTTCTAACTGTATTTTCTCTTTGCTTAGATGAGAGACTCCAAACCCTCCAACTGCAGCCTTTTTTAATCTGAGCACCACTTAGACTTCAAGCTGAGCTTATTATCTACTGGAACCTGCACATCTGGGATACCGACATCCAGGATCAATGATTGTTAATGAAGAAATCCTCTTGGAAGTTGCTGAGATATTACCGCCTTCTACAATATAAGCACATACTTTCCTAGCAGGATCTGTCATTTTTACTAATGCTTTGCTTTGTACATATTTTATATGCCAACCATGATGAACCCATTCTATTACCATATATGAATATCCAATAAATTATTTCAATCATGCACCCTGAGTTGTGAATCACTCTATTTATTCAGATTTTAAGACACATACAAGTCACATATTGTAGTTGCACATTTATTTTGAGTTTATACTAATTAACCTGTTTACATTCCCTATTGTATTAAAAAAAAAACGTGTTTCACCTGTCAATATACCTGCTTTTACCCTGTGTCTTAAAGGCTCCGTTTCAGCATCTTCAACAGAATTGTGTTTCAAGCTTTTTATATACAGTCTGAGCTACAGTTTGGCTCCATGTTTACTTCCTATCAGCTGATGTTCTGTAACTGGGGCACTTTTAAAATGTTAACATTTAAAACCTGTGAACAATTTTATAGTTGTGACAAACTATAGTTCGAACCGGAGAGACGTGATGTATGGAATACATGTTTATTGTTACACGTCATATAAATGAAATGATTGCCATGATAATACGACAGGAGAATGGAATGGTTTGCAGGATAATCATTCGGGAGGGAAAAGAACCGCTCCGATGAAAATCCCCGGGGTCTAGACACTGGTGGTGGTGATAAGTAGGTGGGACCGGTCTGGAGGAGGAAGGTTTAGCTTTGTCCTGGAGGAGACGGGAGGCGAGAGGGGTGGAGGAGGGTTGCGTGTGGTCACCTGAAATGACAGCTGACAGGAGGGAAGAGCAGGCATTTAAGGAATTTAACGTGTGCAGCAATTGGCTGCTGAGGGGTGACGCCCACATGTTTAATGAGGGGGGAGAGAGCAATAGAGTGACGTGTAAGTGACTCATTGTTAGGTCTTCCTTATTGAACTTGCGCTAAAGCTTTCAT